GGTGTCATACTGCAGCACAGCTTTGGGTATCGTGTATCTCCGAGACCATCAAAAACCAGGAGTGGGCCAAGGGAGGGGATGGGATTTCATCCTTCCCAAGCCATGGATGGGCTCAGGGAATACACGGTGAGGTTGTAGCGGTTGTCAGGGCTTGTTGCTTCACTCAGGAGGGAGGTAAAACCTCCAAGACAGGCAAATCCTCGTGAACAAGTGGCACCAAGAATGGTCTCCTTATATAAACAGAGCAGTCCTTGGGAGGTGGAAAAGGCCTGAAATTCTGGGTGAAGACCCACTTGAGCCTTGCCCCTTCCCTCTCTTCACCTTGGGCTCTTAGGGCATCTCTAACTCCTTCTTTACATGTAATATTTCATAGAAGCATAGAATGGTCTAGGTTGGGAGGGACCTTTAAGATCATCAAGTCCAACCATTAACCTAACACTGCCAAAACCACCACTAAGCCACGTCCCTCAGCACCACATCTGCCCGTCTTTTAAATACATCCAGTGAAGGTGGTTCCACCACTGTCCTGGGCAGCCCGTTCAAATGCTTGACAACCCTTTGGGCGAAGAAATTTTTCCTAATATACAATCTAAACCTCCCCTGGCACAACTTGAGGCCGTTTCCTCTTGTCCTATCACCTGTTCCTTGGAAGAAGAGACCGTCCCCCCTCACTACCCCCTCCTTTCAGGGAGTTGTAGAGAGTGAGAAGGTCTCCCCTAAGCTCCTTTTCTCCGGGCTGAACACCCCCGGGTCCCTCAGCCACTCCTCATCAGATGTGTGCTCCAGACCCCTCACAGCTCCGTTGACCTTCTCTGGACACAGTCCAGCACCTCAATGTCTGTCTTGTAGTGAGGGGCCCAAAACTGAGCACAGCACTCGAGGTGGGGCCTCACCAGTGCCATTTCATGGGTTGGCACTGCAAGTTGCGGTTGAATGTTTAGAAGCACCATGGCTTTGGTTCGGGTGGCAGGAGAGCGGGTCTGGGGTCCCTCCACCAAATCATGCTGAGCACATGGCTTCCCGCTTTCCCCCCCTCCCCGGCGTGCCACCCCGCCAGTTCCCAGGAGGTGTCCCTTGATCCCGTTTGCACAGTGCCTGCTGAGGTGCAACCCTGAGAGGAGCAGCGGTCTCTTGGGAACAACTGGAATCTCAGCACTAACCAAGCTGCGACGTCCTACCACCGAGTCCGCAGTGGGCAATTTTGAAGATGAATTCGGTTGTGTTGTTATTTGGGCCGGGCAGTGGAAGGAAAGACACAGCCACTAACACTGTGCCAATTAATGAGGTATATAAAAGCAGTACTGGGAAGGTGCTTTTATCTGATCCAAGGACATTATGTCTCCACAAACAAACAGAATTACTGAGTCAGTCCTTTACTTTCAACACTACTGATGGCTTTAAAACACGAACGCCGTGGCAGATAGCTTAGACCCTGGAGGTAAGATGAAAGCTATCAAGCTAAGTTAAGATACAGAAAGTCCATGCTCTGTCTCCTGGCAATTTTTGAGATGTAGTAAGAAATGACTGGTGTGAAATACGTAGAATGACTCCAGGGATATATTTCTGCATGAAACACCGAACCAGAGCCCTTTGTCCGTCCCCGCCCAGCTGGTGGTTTGCATGAACGGTGCTACCCTCAGCCTGCGGTCTGTCACTCACAGCTTTCTTCCACAGCCATTTTCAAAGCCTCAAGCAGATGCCTTTATCTCCCCTCGTACAGGAGGCTACACCACCTGAGCAAAACTAACCTGCCAAAAGCAAAGGCATGAAGAGCTTGGTCTTTCTGCACCCAGTGTTCACCCATCTCCCTCTTCCACTTCAGGTGCCCCGCTCCTCTCACAACGCCATCCTCTCCTCTGAGCAGCAAACAGCCCCCAGGAACCCATGTTCATTGGTTAGACACGTGTCTTCACTGCTTGGCTAACAGAGACTCTCTCCAACACGTGACAAACCACTTTGGGTTTTGAAACCAGAAGCCCTGACCCAAGAGAGAGGTAGGTTCATACCAGGAGTTCAACCTGGGAGGTGGTACTTCTCCAGCGTTAGGGTTTGAGGCCACAGGACAAAATGCTGTAAGAAAGAAATTCTTGTGCATAAATGGAGAAATCTGCAGATTTCCAAAGGAGAAAGATGAGCGTGACAAGGAGATGAATACTTCTGGCTAGAGCATAAGCCAGTGCTCAGCAAAGGCTTCATCATTTGGGATGGGGAGAGTTGGGCCCAGCTGCAGAGAACTGGTCCCCTATGGGGACCAGCACTGCTTAATATCTTCATCAACAACATAGACAGTGAGATTGAGTGCATCCTCAGCAAGTTTGCAGATGACACCAGGCTGGGTGGTGCGGCTGACACACCTGAGGGACAGGATGCCATTCAGAGGGACCTGGACAGGCATGAGAAGTGAGCCTGTGTGAACCTCGTGAGGACCAACAAGTGCAGGGTCCTGCACCTGGGTCAGGGCAACCCCCGGTATCCCTGCACAGGCTGGGGGTGAAGGGACTGAGAACAGCCCTGCTGAGGAGGGCTTGGGGGTGTTGGTGGGTGAAGAGCTCACCATGAGCCGGCAACGTGCACTCACAGCCCAGAAAGCCACCAGCACCCCAGGCTGCATCCTCAGCAGCGTGGCCAGCAGGGCGAGGGAGGGGATTCGGCCCCTCTGCTCCGCTCTGGGGAGCCCCCCCTGCCATGCTGCCTTCAGCTCTGGAACCCCCAACATAAGAAGGACATGGACCTGTTGGAGTAGATCCAGAGGAGGCCATGAAGATGATCCGAGGGCTGGAGCCCCTCTGCTGCGAGGACAGGCTGAGAGAGTTGGGGGTGTTCAGCCTGGAGAAAAGAAAGGTCCAGGGAGAACTTATAGCTACCTTTCAGTAATTAAAGGAGGCTTATAAAAAAAGATAGAGACAGACTTTTTACAAGAGTCTGTTGCTATAGAACAAGGGGTAATCATTTTAAACTAAGAGAAGGCAGATATAGACCAGATATAAGGAAGAAGTTTTTTATGTGGAGGGTAATGAAACCCTGGCCCGGGTTGCCCAGACATGTGGTAGATGCCCCATCCCTGGAAACATTCCAGGTCAGGTTGGACGGGGCTCTGAAGAACCTGATTGAGTTGAAGATGTCTCTGCCCATTGCAGGGGCATTGGGCTAGATGACCTTTAAAGGGCCCTTCCAACCCAAACTATTCTATGATTCTATCTCATAGGGTGGCGAAGGCAGTGTTTGGATGAGTGTGTGGTAAAGTAAACTGAAGGGAGCTTGCTTATCACCGCTGTTATTTGAGCCATAAGATAATAGGGCTTTGGTGAGAGACAGAAATTGGCTGAATAAGCTCAGGTTGAAGACCCGTGCTCTGTTTGTGGGATCAAGGAAGGGATTACAAGCACATTAAAATCTGGAGTTGCTAAGGAGGGTGAAGAGCAGGTACAGTAGTGTTATCTACCTGATCTGAAATCTCCTTCCTGGAGCCACCCATGACTTGGCCTGAGCCTTCTGCTGTGGGCAATGTGGGGTCTGCAGCCTCCTGCTGCCACCAGAGGGGATGGGTCACTCCAGCCCTTGGGGCTGTGGCAACCAAGAGCAGAGATGAAGACACCGTTGTGAACAGACCACCTCGAGAGCAAAAAGGTTCCAAATTGGGCACCGGGCAAAGAGCAAAGCCCTTTCTTGGCACTCTCAAACACAGTATCACCACTGATATTATTTATTTATTTATTTATTTAACCAGCCAAAAATGAAGATACACCAGATGATTGTCCAGTTTCAACCAAATCCGACAGCCTCAAGGCTAATTAAATTTGTGTCAGTTTTCATGAAAACAAGAAACCTAGAGAGAGACAGAGCCTTCCTGATGCCTCCTCCTTTCCCCTCCAAAGGGAATCCTGAAGGGTGATCTCATCTTTAGCAGATGCCAGAGAAGGTGCCCCTGAGGACACCACCCCTCCCAGCCGCTAAAACGCTTCAATCAGAATTTGCAACTAACACACTGATAAGAAGCCAGGCTTCCCCCCTCCTGCTGCTGACAGAGCTAATTACTTTATATTACATATTTACTGGATGCAAAATTTCTGTGCCACCATCCTTCTTTCTGTCCTGTTCTTAGACAGCACCTACCGCCTTGGAGGTGGCTCCAGCAAAACCCAGGACAAATCATGCCGTACCAGATCGGCTTGAGCTGCAGCTGGAAGCAGCTGAGCGCACGAACAGAAATCTCCCTGAGTTGCACTGAATTAACCCAGAAGGGAGACGCATGCGCTCTTTCCCAACTAGAAAGTTTATATTTCTCCTGTCTAAGAGTGACTAAAATTGCTGAAGTCTAAATAGTCATTTGTGCTTTGTAGGCTTAACTGTAAAGAAAATCAGTTACTGGAAGGAATATCTACCTGACTGGGCACTTCAAGGGAGAAGCAATGAGGAAAAAGCCAATTTAGGGTGAATTCTGTTGAATTAAACTGGCTTACACTCAGAGCATCCACAAATCTGAAAATAAGCCTTTTGGCCGCATGGGGACTGGCGCCCGTCCCATTTCCCCCAGTACCTTGCGGTCACCCTGCTCCTGCCCCATTCAGCCCCTTCCACTGGCAAATTCCCCACTGACCAGGTCTCCTGCCCCATCTCTCCTCTATCTGCTTCCTTCATTAGCCTCCAGCTCTGGCTCGTGCCCTAGCCTCCTTTGAGACCACACGTAATTCCCTTTCTTCATTTATATTGTTACCTTGAAGGTATTTTTAGCCTGTGACCACGTTGCCCCTGAGCCTTCCTTTTCCCAGACTCTGTAAATTTAGCTCTCTTAGTCATTCCTCGTGTCTCCCAGCACTCACGTTCTTCTTCCTGACCTCCTTGGTTTTCTGCCTCCTCCTGCACCTGCAAGGACCAGAGCCCCCAGGACCCAACTGCTGTCACCTCCATGCTCTTAGACCTCATTAGGGAGGTGATTCTGTCCCACTACTCCGCTCTGGTGAGACCCCACCTGGAGTCCACCTCTGGAGCCCCCAACATAGGAAAGACATGGACATGTTGGAGCAGGGCCAGAGGAGGCCACAAAAATGATCCAAGGGCTGGAGAACCGCTGCTGTGAAGACAAGCTGAGAGAGTTGGGGGTGTTCAGCCTGGAGAAGAGAAGGCTCCGGGGAGACCTTAGAGCCCCTTCCAGTCCCTAAAGGGGCTCCAGGAGAGCTGGGGAGGGACTTTTCACAAGGGCATGGAGTGATAGGATGAGGGGGAATGGCTTCAAACTGGAAGACAGTAGATTTAGATTAGATATCAGGAGAAAATTTTTCCCTGTGCGGGTGGTGAGCCCCTGGGGCAGGTTGCCCCAAGAAGCTGTGGCTGCCCCATCCCTGGCGGTGTTCAAGGCCAGGTTGGACGGGGCTTGGAGCAACCTGGGCTAGTGAGAGGCATCACTGCCCAGGGCAGGAGGGTTGGAACTCTATGATCTTTAAGGTCCCTTCCAACCTACCCCATTCTATGATTACCCAAGACAAAGTTGCTCCAGGACCTCCCCCCCCAACCCCTCCTAGGGCCAGCAGGAGATCCTTGGAGGTGACCCCTCAGAGATGTGGGTTGAGTTAGAAAGCTTCCCATCAGCAGCCCCCTTCCAGTTTTTCCAAAGGAGCACTTTACTCTTTACAACATATGGCTTTATAGCAATAAAACCAACCTGGATTTGTGTGGGACCTCTTCCAGCCTTGCCAGGTCTCAGGATCCAGCTCAGGACTGACTCTGCTCCTTGTGAAGCACCTCCCAGGACCATAACCGCATCCTTGCTGAGGCCCAGTCCCACAAAGCCCATTAGGTGCTTTGTTCCCATTCAAGCACCTGCCTCCCACCAACTTCAAAACTGAATTGAAACCTGCATGAATATTTAGGGACTGGAGGTTGTCATCAGAAAGAAAAAGCCCATATTGAAATAGCTAACAGCTCTGACACATCTTACAGACACGAACAGCACAGGAGCATGCTGGATGGCTGTGTCTTATTCTTCTGTAGGAGGTGGAAGAGGGGGGAGAAGCCAACTGAAATAAATGGGCTGCAAATGGTCCCAAGTGTCCTGGGTTAGGAGGGGAGGGACCTTCCAGAGCTGGGATCCACCCCACCTCGGGAGGCTGCTGTGGGGATAAAAGGGGGTTTGGGGAGTAGGGCAGAAGATGCTGGTGCAGGAGGTGGAGGGGGTTACTGCTCTGTTGGGGTGTTGCAGCATTTGGGGAGCTGTGCTGGATCACAGGGCATCTTCAGAGGAGATGAGCCCATCCTGCCCCGGTGGTGGGTCAGCCCCTGGGGGAGAGCACAGAAATGGGGTGCAATGTGCTGTCTGGGAGGGATCCTGCAAGCAGGAGGGGGGCAGCATAGGGAGCTACGGCCTTTGTGGCTTTAGAGATGCAACAGCTCCAAACTTGCATGGAGGAAAAACTTATTTTGATTTTTGTTGCAAACTCCTTTGCTCGTTTTTGATGTGGGTTTTCTTTTTTTTTTCTTGCTGAAATGTCAAAAGCTACAGGTTCGGTAAGCAAGGCAACCAAACCCAATCACTAAAACACTGAAAAGCTTTAGGGCTAATTATTTTATCTTTTCATTATTTAAAGAGACTAAAAAAAAACCCCTTCCAAATGTAAAAATCTGCTTTTCATTTTTTTCACACTTTTTTTTTTCTTTTCAAAAATGTTAGAGGGAAGATTAGGTTTTGGGTTTAATTAAGAGGGTTGCTTTTGAGCCATGTTTCAGGTTAAAAAAACCCAAACAACTGCAAGTATTCTGTTGGGAAACTGCCAGGCTGACCTGGTGCTCTCCATGCTTCTGCCTCTGTCACAGCGTACAAGGTGCCATATGCGAAGGAAAACTCTTGAAGTAACTAAACTCATAGTTTCCTTCCACTGTGAGCTTGCTTCAGTCTTTCAGCCTGCACACCTGGGAAATCAAGGGAACACGAAGGGACAGGGGTTTGTGATTTAACCTGAAGTTCTGAGGAAAGCTGGTGTACCTGCATCTGCCTCTCTTCCCTCCTTTAATAACTGCAGAGCTTATGGGCGATTTTAATCTTATTTCATTAAAGGTCGGGGGGGGGGGTTTCGGATTGCTGCAAGTGAAATTATGTGATCAGAGAGAGGACAGAAACCCTGAAATCTCCCCGCTGTGGGAGATGGTGATGCTGTCTGTTGGACGTTGGAGAACCCACCCATGACTCTTCAAAACACACATCCATGGGAAACTGGGCCCTCCCCCCTCCGGTTCTGCTGCTCGTGAAACTGCTTCTTTGTGGGCTCCTTTTGGATCCCGTGGGGAGCACCAGGGAGGCAGAGAGCCTCTGCTAAACATCTCGAGTATTTTACAATGCAGGCGGGACCAAGCTGGAGGGACAGGATCCCCCAGGTGAAGCTGATGCTGTATCTGCAGGATGACATTTCCTCACTTCCAGCCTTATATTTCATGCAGCTCCTGTTTTGTTCTTGCACCTTTGTCTTGCACGCAGCGGTCCAAAGGATGTTCCCGTCCTCTGCGCATCCGGCTGCTCCGGCTGTGCACTCAAAGCATCTCATTCAGCATCTCCGTGTACTCTCCTGTGTGTGCAGACAGCGGGCAGAGCAGGGGAGGGCGGTTTTAAAAATGAGCTGTGTTTGTAGCCTGACAGCGAGCTGTCGGCTGGCAATGGCTCAGCAGCCCAGGCCACCCTGCAAGAGGGACTTCACCTCCACCTGAAGATGCGACCAACCTCAGCCACCCCTCCCTGTCCCCCCTCTCCCGCACGTTTCCCGTGGTCCCCATGGAGATCTGTGGCCGGAGATGTCCTGAGGGACCAAAGCATATTGACCTGCAGTGACACGCTTCCCTCGCAGCAATTGCTCTAATGGGAACCGCACAGAGCATCCAAGACGCCGGTGCAGCTCCATTAATCACAGCCGCCTCCTGCCTGGCACGGGCTGCCCTCGCTCCACCCGTGGTCCTTCGGGTCGTTGCCAGGGGAGAAGTCCACACTGTGTCCTTGGATCTGGCACAGAGAGGATCATCCCATCACGCTGCTGAGTGAGCAGCGGCAGGGGCCGGCGCAGGCAACGAACCCCCCAGTACACCCACTCCACACCAAAACACAGGCTCGGAAACCTGCAGCCTTCATTAACTGCTCTCACACCCATCAGCTTCCCTCAAAGATGATATTTGGGGATTATCCTCCCCTCTTTCCTCTTCTTGCAGTCCCATCCCGAAGGCTGGATGCTTCCAGACTCATCGCTCCTAAGTGCTCGGTGGGCAGGCGCTCGCTGCGGCTGGCCGGGGTTGCAAAAAAGCATTTAGCAGATACAAGGCACGAAAATAGTGCCAGACAGGGGGTGATTAGAAATCATTTAGACCAGGCAAAACCGGGCCGTCCCAAATTCGCCGGCAGCCTGACACACTGAAGGAATGTTTGTGACCGGAGCTGAAATGAATTATTTGAAGATGCTGCAGTATCTCTACGTAAAGCATCTGAGATACCCGAGCGCTCACTCGGAGGCGGGCGGGAGGGGGTGTCTGGCCGGAGCTTGGCCCGGGGCTGTGTCACAGCTCAGGTTTCTCCTTCAGATCAGCAATATCTTCGCACAGAGGTGAAGGCACCAGCCAAGAGGAGGATGGGGCATGATGCATCGCCCTGGTCAGAGCCGCAGCCTGCAAACGTGCCTCAGGATCACACCAAAAATGTGGATCTCAAATGGGGGGTAAGTGGAGGGAGGTGGGTAAAGGAAACGAGTTAAAACCTCTCAGGTTTGGTCCTTGACATGTTACAGAATGCTGGGGGAGAGCCTGACTAGCTACCCTCCTCCTTGAATTTCACAGAATCACAGAATCTCCTAGATTGGAAAAGACCTGTAAGATCATCTAGTCCAATCATTAACCTAACACTGCCAGCCCACCACCAAACCATGTCCCTGAGCACTATATCTACATGACCCTTAAATACCTCCAGGGATGGGGACTCCACCACTGCCCTGGGTAACGCGTTCCAATGCCTGATGACCCTTTCAGTGAAGAAATTCTTCCTAATATCCAATCTAAACTTCCCTTGGCACAATTTGAAGCTGTTTCCTCTTGTTCTAGTAGCTGTTACTTGACAGAACAAGTTGACTCCCACCTCTCTGCAACCTCCTTTCAGATAGTTGTAGAGAGTGATAAGGTCTCCCCTCAGCCTCATTTTCTCCAGGCTGAACACCCCCAGATCCCTCAGCCACTCCTCTTAAGACACGTGCTCCAGACCCCTCACCAGCTCCGTTGCCTCTCTGGGGCAGGATTTGGGCAAGGGTGGCTGATGAAGGGGGCACGGTGGAAGCAGGATGGAGAGACGAGACCCATCCAGGGGTTGGGAGGTTCTCCTCTGCCCTAATCAGCCTTTCCCTCCCGCCTTTCTGGTCTGCCCCATCATCTGTTTCCCGGGGAGGTTTACCCCGAGGGTCTTGTGTTACCTGCCTGCTGTAGAGAAACTGGTCCCGAGGATGAAAAGCCCAGGGAGGGCGAAGCTCCTGCCTGCAGCTCTCCGTAGCCCTGCTGGGCCGGGCACTGCCCAGGCTGGCGTGGGACCCCCAACCCCGTCTGCTCAGACCTGGGTGCTCAGCACCATGCAGATCCGCTCTGGGACAGAGGCCGAGCTCAGCAACATGGGCTGGGGAGAAGAGCGGCGGTGGTCTGTGTCCGTGCTGGGTGGAGAGCAGCTTTGGAAGGTGAAATGTGCTGCGAAACTCGCCAAGGAGAAGGCAAGAGGCTGCTGTGGGGACACAGCCACCAGGCAAAAATGTTGGTCGGTGATCAACTCACTTTCCAAGGTCGCGTAGTCATGGACTTCATGCTGCATCTGCGTCATTCTCACCTCTACCATAGATGATTCAGCATCTCCGTCACCAACAGGCAGTGGCAGGACCCACTTGGCTGATGTCCTCTGGTGACGCTGGTGTTCAGGGGGCTGGAGTGTACCTTGGCATCCCTGGTAGTCGGTGGCATTGGCTTCCAAGGTAGCAGGAATTGCATGAAAGGTCAGGAGATGTCCACTTGGTCTTCCCCCATAGTGGGATACGTTTTCAGATGCCATTGAAATACTCCAGATGTCATCAAGACTTTTGGGTCACCATGAGACAGGCAGGACCTCACTGCCCGTGTGGGCTTAAGGTTCAGCAAAACATACCGGGAGACTGGTGAGAGATGAAGGGAACGATGGGAAGGGAGCTGCCTTAACTGGAGAGCCTTCCTCATGTGTCCAAGCTGCCGTGCAACGCTCGGCACCGGCGTGCCGGAGGCCGGCAGCCTCCCTGGTGACGTGCTGCCCGTGCCGGGTGTCTGCAGGGACGTGCCCAGGCAGATGAGGAGTTGCGGCTGAGGTTTTAATTCGCCTCCAAGAGCGGAAGGGCAGCGGGCGGCTCAAATTCACCTAGCTCAGCATCTGCAGCCTGGATTCCACTTGCAGTCTTGCAAAAGCCTCATAAATTTTTTAGAGCAGCCCAAAGTGCCTGCTGAGTCGGCCAATCAGCGCCGGTGGATTAAGGAAACTTACCTTAAATTATTAACAGCACACAGCCAGACAAGAGGCCCGTGGGGTAGAGGTGGGAAAGGAGAAGTTACTCATTCCTCCTCCTCCAGTGGGTACCACGAGAGCAGCCGACACCAGGCTGGGGGTAGGCAGAGATGTCCATTCGCACCTTGGAGGATGGTCCCGTTCATGGGGTCTTCCCTCCTCCATCAGGAAACCCCAACGAGGCGTCAATGGTCTGTGGTGCGCAGGGCATGCTTGCACCGTGGAGG